CTGCCCCCCAAGTAAGCTGAGACTATAGGCATGTACCACCATACCCAGCTTTCAAACCGTTACATGGAAAGGGTCATTCCTTGCTGCATGAGTAGACAGTGTGTGAAAAAGGAGGAAGGGGGTTGTATGGAAGTACAAGGGGAAGAAGAGTGAGGGAAAGGGCAGGCAGGGGAGGTGCCGGAGGAAGGAGTGCCAGGCAGCAGAAGGAACCTGAGCAGAGCAGACAGGCCTTGCTGAATGGGATAAACTTGAAGGAGCACCCATGGCAAGAGCAGAGAATGGCCAGGAGGGACCTCAGTCATCCTGGAGGCTCGTGAGGACCCACCCGAGGGTTTTGAACAGCAACCAAGGCATCTGATTTGTGTTCAGGAGAAGGGACTGGAGTGGGACCAGGCCATTGGCCATGGCTGTGGCTGTGTTTCATCGGGTTAATGACAGGGCTTGACCAAGAGCAGAGGAAACAAAACAGAGGTTACTCTAGAATAACTTCCTCTCAGGCCAGTCTGTTAATTTATAATGGTCATGAGCTTAACCAACCATTGGAACAATGGGTCAGCTGGCCAGAATGCAACTTTCACCATCCCCAAAACTCAAGCGCATTCATGATCAAAGGATTATTTATGAAAATGAAGTGAAGGCTAAGCATGTTGACAGTCCAAAAGGACCTTTGCTCCGTCTCCAGCAGTTTCTGCTCGAGCCGAGCATAAAGTTTGGTGTCTGCTGAGCTGTTGCTCTCAGGAGAGACACTTGACCTCCCAAGGGGGACTCCCTGCTCTCCTGGCCAGCACTGCAGGGAAATTGGCTGGAGTGTTTTGGCTGTAAGAAAGACGAGCAGGTAAAAAATGAAAAATTGTTCTAAGGAAAGGGGGTCATTTGCATGTCTGTTATCCAGGCTGAGGCTGCAGGATTGTGAGTTCAAAGCCAGTCTGGGCTACATAGCAAGACCCTGTCTCAAGAAAGAAAGAAAGAAAAAAAAAAGGAATCTTTGAAGTATCATACTTAATACACTTGGAATTCAGATCTTTTCAGAACCCTCCCTTACTGAGTCTTCTTTGTTTAGATTTTTTCTATTTGAAAAATGTTAAATCACCACCACAATAAGAAATACATTTTAGGCTGGTGCGGTGGCTAATGCCTGTAATCACAGCTACTTGGGAGGCAGAGATCAGGAAGATTGAGGTTCGAAGCCAGCTATGGGGGAGAAAAGTCAGCAAGATTCCACTTCAACAGACAAGCTACCATGGCCATGCACTCTGGTGATCCCAGCTACCTGGGAGGCATAGGTAGGAGGATTGCAGTTAGAGGCTGGACCAGTGCCAACCCAGGCGAAAATATAAGACCCTATCTGAAAAATAACCATAAAGCAAAATGGGCTGGAGACATTGACTCAAGTGGAAGAGCCATACACACATTCAGAACTGAAACAAATTTCACAAGAGTTACCTTGTGCTGTAGTCTCATATTTTATAATCTAGGCTATTTTATTGTTGTTTTGATGCATTGTCTCCCCATGTGGCCCAGGCTGGCCTCAAACTGGCAAGTGCTGGTATTGCCAACTTGTGTAGCCATGCCTGACTGTATCATTCACAGCTTTTAACATTGTGACTAGTTGTGTAGCTCAGTGGTACAGAGCTTGCCTAGCCTGGGTGAGGCTCTGTATTCCATCCTAGGCACAACAACAAAACAAAACACCAGGGGTGGTGGAGTGGGTCAAGTTATAGAATGCCTGCCTAGCATGCATAAGGGTCTGAGTTTGATCCCCAGCATCACAAAAAGAAAAAGATAAAAAAAAAAAAAAACCCACCTAAACCATATTATGACCTGCCTTGTGGCAGTAGCAGCCTAGGGATCATGCTGACTCCCTGCCACCATCTACAAAACCCCTCACCATCTACCTGACCACAGTTCCCTCTCAAGCCTGCGTAGGTGGCTTCTACCTGGAGTTCTCCTCCTTCTTTCCCGTTATCTGGAGAACTCTTACCTATCCTTGAAAACCTAGCTTAAAGCATCTACTCCCACCCCCCACCCCCCTCAACAGGATGCCTGCTTTCTCCTCCTCCTCCTAGAACCTTTCACCCACAATGGTGACAGCTGGGTTCCTCCTCCCTGCCGGCCTTAGGACCACTTCCTCCAAGCCTGCAATATCTTTTCATTGAATCTTGTAAAAACGTTTAAAGAACATGGAGCACATTAGCATCATGTAAATGAAGTGTTGCAAATGAGTGTGCAGAGGAGTAGGAGTGCTGCAGACGGGTTTCCTGTCTGTGGAGCCACGTGTGGCAGAAAGAAGCTCTCCCTGCCCCCATCCCCCAGCCACCCGCCCTCCTGAGCATTACAGGTACCCTTCACCCTGAACTTGCATCCTGCCTGGGTTCATCGCCATAGTCCCTTTGGGCAACTTGGGCATCTTTTGGGTTTTCCTACTTTTCTGTAGTGTGGTAGAGACAACCTAGGCAGAAATGGAGGTTTAAGCACAGGGATGGAGGCCGCTGTCTGCACCACCTAGGTGAGGGGGTTTGGGGGGTGGAATTCCTTTCTGAAGTGGTATTAGGGAGGATTTTGAGGTTTTTGAATATTTGCTTCTAAGTATCTAAGTGAGATATTTGTTGGCCCACATCTGCACTATCTTGGTGAGCTAGCTACCTGACATATTTTCTGTATGTGAAATTTCACCTTGGTGAAACTGATACCCTATCTTTTTTCCTATGCTGGTACTGGGGTTTGAACTCAGGGCCTTTGCTTGTGAGGCAGGAGATCTACCACTTGAGCCATGCCTCCATCCACTTGGTGAAATTGTACTGAAATATATAATGACTATTTTTCTTTCTTCCTTTCTTTTTTAATTGTTGTTAACTTCATAGTTGAAACTACTGTAATTCCCAGACCTAGTCTCTGGGGAGTTTCCAATCCAGTATGCTGTGAACTGTAACTAGAAAAGAAAAAAAAATTATTTTTTTCAGACATAAGCAAAAGCAGTGAAAGTGTTCCTTGTCCAATCGTCTCACTTCTGCATTGGCAGCAGCTGTGTGACTGGCAGATGGCTAAGGCAGTGGTGGTGGGTGTAGACTGTGGAGGGGTGAGGTGAAGACAGATGTAAACAGATCACTATTTCGAAGTGTAAGAGAAGGCGTATGTGGGTGCAGAGAGGAACAAATCATTTGTTTAAGCAGTGTTTTTCACATGGAGGTCACCTCCCATGCGATCTGGAAGTCCTTTACAAGGTGTCTAATGGTATTTGTAGACACAAGCTAGCACAGAAGGGAGTATACCCAGTTGTGTCCTCCATAGTAAGTTTAGCCATGCTTTCAGAAACGTTCGTTTCGGTCATCTATCTATAGCTTCGCGGTGTGAAATGGATTTCTTGGAATCAGTCACAGGCAAAGATGTTTGAAAGCTACTGATGAGATGGAAGGAGGCTTTTCCCAGAGGAGGTAGCATTTGAGCTGGGGCTTGGAGAATGGTACACTTACCTCAGACGAAGAAGAGCATTTCAGTCAAAGAGAATAGGGATGCCCAAATCGGGATACGTGTTCCAGGGCAGAGCGTTCCCCACGTCGGACTCTGGTGTACTAGGACAGACATGGCTGGAGATGCACCTGAGGGAGGCAGGAGGAACCATTTAGTGAACCGCTTGAAAGTACACCTCGGGGCTGGGGGTGGGGGAGTGGGTAGCTCAGTGGTAGAGCACAGGCTTCGTATTCATGAGGCCCTGGGTTCAATTCCCAGACCTAAATTTAATTCAATTTAATGTAATTTCAAAAGTACACGTGTCAGGTCTCCATTTTCCCCAGAAGTTTCCATTCCCTGGTTATGGATTTGGGCTTGAGAACCTACATTTTCTTTCTTTCTTTTTTTTTTTTTTGTTGGCAGCACTGGAGTTTGAGGGAATCCATGTTTTCTTTTTTGGTGATGGTATTGGGGTTTGAACTCAGAGCCCCGTGCTTGCTAGGGAGGCACTCTACCAATTGAGCCACACCTCCAGCCCCACATTTTCTTTTGCAGGGCCTCACACTCTGCCACTGTGCCACACTCCAGCAGGGTAAATCTTTATTTTTAATAAGTCTCTCCCCAAGCAGTGAAGTGCTGATGGAGGTGTGACACAACCAGCTGGAGGATTTAGGAAGGAGACTTCTGTAGTAGTATTTAGACAGAAGATTGATGGGAGGTGAAGCAAGAGATGAGGACCTGGATGCAGGTGGAGAAGAGGGGCTGAATTTGAGGGATTTTAGAAGCAGGTTCTATGGTTTGAGGTGGAAGAGACAAGGAGGAGTCATAGACAATCCTAAAATATCCAAGGGGGTACTGGTCGGTATGATTCATGGTGAGAGAGATGTATAAGAATTTGGAGGTTCAGGTGCTGGTGGCACATGCCTGTAATCCTAGCTACTTAGGAGGCAGAGATTAGGAAGATAACAGTATGAAGCCAGCCCCGGGAAATAGTTTGTGTGAGACCCTATCTCGAAAAAAAAATCACAAAAAAAGGGCTGATGGAGTGTCTTAAGATGTAGGTCCTGAGTACAAACCCCAGTACCACAAAAAAAATTTTTTTTTGAGGTATAAGGTTATTTGTTCTGGGCTGGAGGAGTGGCTGAAGTGGTAAAGCACCTGCCTCAATTCAAACCCCAGTACCACCAAAACCAAGAAACAAACAAACAAACAAAAGAGTAGTTACACCTTTCTTTGCTCATGGTGTCACCTTTACCTGGGAAATGGAACTAGTGATTGCAATATTTAGGAAAAAGAATTGTACCATCTCGGGGAGATTTCACGTGGGCTCTAAAAATGCCTGATTAACTTTTCTGTGCTGAAATAAGAATGTGGCTTTTTAGTGATCAGAATACCCCTGGAAGTTTTCTCTTCCATGCTGAGAGTACACCTGAGAGAGCGCCTGCTAGAGCCTACACGTTTCCTTGTCTTTATCTTCTAAGTCATCTACTAGGGTAGGTTCTTATCTCTTAGTAGTTTTGTTTCGAAAATGACACTGACATTTGTTGTGCAAGCCCTCTTCCATGGGTACCCTGTCTTAGAAGCCCAGTGATGACACTGACCTCCAATCGACTCCCTCTGCAGTTCCCCCATCCTGCTAGTGTGGAGTGGACTGAACTTCCAGCCCGGGGAGGTAAGGCGTTGTGGAAGAAAACAGCCATATGCGGTGCCCTCCTAACCTGACTGCTGTCCTCCCCCTCCTGGTGTCTGTGGGGAAGCAGGCTGGATGTGTAAGACGGCAAGGCCAGTGGGAGGACTGAGTGCCTTTTTTTTTTTTCACAGCTTTGCTGTGTTGTATTAACTCCTTATCCTTGTAGTAAAAACTTGTAGGAGTTCAGATTTTTTTTTTTAAATCTGGTCAAGGAAAATAATCAGCTTGAAATATGTCATGACTAGAATAGCCTTAGTCTTACAATAATGACTTAAAAGTGTTTGTAGTTATATCAAACCAAATAATATAGGCAAGATATTGAAACATTTGTAATCCAATAAATTGTTTATTCAGCATTCCTTTTTTTCTTGAGGTAGGGGATTGGGGAGGGATTGAACCCAGAATTTGGAGCATGCTAGGCGTCTGTCCTACCCCTGAACCATGCCCCCAGCCTTCCACGTAACTTTTAATAATAGTAACAACAGTGGCAGTGATTATTGAATAATTACTATATACCTGGCACTAAAGCAAGGAGTTTTGTATAACTAATAGCATTGAACTCTCTCAAACCATTATTGTTGTTTCCATTTTACAGATGTGGAAACTGAGATGAGAGAAGTTTAAAAACTAGGTCAGTGCTGGGGACTTGACTCAAGTGCCTGCCTAGCAGGCTTGAAGTCCTGAGTTCAAATTACAATACCAAACATGCAAGTAAGTAGATAAATAAATATTTAAAAAATAAAAAGTAAGTCAAGATTAGATGCCTAAAAAGTAGTAATGATAAAACTGACTGAAGGGAGGAGTCTAAATCATTCTGCTATAATGCTTGTGGCCAGTTGGACATAATTGTTCCAATCATATGGTTTAGGGAGACTTTACCTTCTTAATATATGGGTCTTGAGGTAGACAGCTCACTTCTTGTATTCTTGTAGATCATGTAGACTGGGGCTGTTTTTCCTCCATCCCCAAAACATTGCTTTTGCACTAACTGCACATACAAAGTGTGTTGCTTGGCCCTCACAGAGCATACAGCCTGGGCCCTTGACTGGGCTCTTGGGGGGAGCACACTGTCCCTGCAGAACAGGAGAGGGAGCTTCAGTCCTAGGAGCATGGCACTGGGTGTTCACAGGGCCCCCTCCCCCAGCCCTGCCCTGAGGCCCAGCTAAGAGAAGGTGAGTGAGCTGGACACCGGATGTACCGAGCTCTCACTGCGTTTCAAGTGTCCTGCTAACCGTCTTACATGTGGCAGTTCCTTAAAATAACTCTCAAAAGGAGCACTATAATTATCTCTGTTTTTTAGATGAGGAAGTTGAGGCTATGAAGGGTGAAATGACTTGTCCAGAGCCACACACCTGGAGAGTGACAACGGTGGAATTTGAACCCACTCAGACTGATTACAGAGCCGAAGATGATAAGCACCTCCAGAGGCACAAATAAAGGGGCGCACCTTATTGAGGTGCATTGAGAATTGTTTAATTTGTATTTTGCAAGCTCTCTGTAGAACCGTACTAACTCATCTGGTAGTTTTGGCATTTTGTGGTGGGCTGTGGTGGTGCACACCACTACTTAATATCCAGCATTTGCATTCTAACCAGCCAAGGGAAACACTTGGAGGGAAAAAAACAAAACAAAAAAACACTTTCACTTCCCCCGCCCCCCTCCTCTGGTTGAGAAATGGACTCAGACCCAGGCCCCGCCTGTGAGAGCACTTAGGCAAGTGCTCTACCACTGAGCTACACCCCCAGCTCCATTTTCACTCTTAATTGTTACATGGGCATTGGGCCTGTTCATTTGGAGGCTCAAACACATGCTAGGATATTTTGATTATGACAACATTATCATTTTGTGTGTGTGTGTCCTGCTACCCTTCTTTCTGGATGGAATCACAGGAGTGACCATTTAACTATATATAAATAGTGAAACTGTAGAAAATACAATTCATTTGCATATAGTAAAGCTATTTTAAGAACTTTTCTCCTAAAAAGTTTCCTAATCTCACTCAGATTCCAAAATCCTGTCTATTTACAACACCGCTTTAAATTTTGCATACAAAGCCATATCCCTTACTTAAAATGCTAAATTTTATAATCATAGGGGGAAACTATAAGAGCTTGGTTTTGTTTTGCTGTATTGTGAAATGATTACGATTTCAGTGGTACCTGGAGAGTCAAAAAGTCTCCACGGCACTCTCAGTGTTTTGCAAACCCCTCCCTCAGATTTAAAATTAGATTTGACAACTGGCATTCTCAGAGTAGGTCTTGACTAATTAGAGGGTTGTCCCCTCTGTCTGTGCCACACCACTGGACTCTGAGGTTTACGTTGACACAGCAAGACTGCTTGTTCCCAAGATACTTTTCAGGCCTGATCAAGGGTGAGTTTTGGGATCAACCAGCCCTGAATTCTTCCATCAGCCCTCACTAGTCCGAGACCTCAGGCTAATTACTTGAAATCATTGAGAGCCTCATCTGCGAATGATTAAACCTTGTTCTTGAGGTGTAGTGAAGATTCTGGTGATAATGTGTGTCAGTGTATCTCAGAATGCCTGTGGCACTTTGGCACTCGGTGAAAGTCAACGCTCTTAATCTGGGCGGTCTCTAAAATGACTGCAGTACTCTGGAACCTTAGATAAATTCAGCTTGTTAGGTCTTTTTTTTTTTCCTTTAAAAATTAATTTTATTTTGGAATGATACATAACAATTGTTCATATTCATGAGCTGTAATATGACATTTCAGTATGTGTACAGTTGTGTAATGATCACATTAGAATGGTAAGTCATCTTTGAAGTCAGATTTCTGGTTTCCGTGGGGTTCTGGCCAGCTGGGGAGGATCTCTTTCTGAAGTCTTATTAATATTTCACTGGCGCTTTGGAGCAACAGCTATAAAACTTGGTTGGGCCCTAATTGCAATGAATAATCCATGGGCTCTTGAAATGTAATTCTTGGAAATGGGTATTATACTTAAATTCCAGCCAATCCAAAGGCACTTTAAAACATGTTTGAAATTTTCCCAAGCCAATTAAAAAACTAGTTGGTCCAACCATCAAGTGTAGAGAAATATGCTAATTTATGCATAGAGGACTGTTCCAGGAAGGCCTTGGCTGAATTTGAAGGGGAATGTCTTGAGAAAACCCCTCTCTGATACTATGTGATACTAAGTCACTGTATTTTTCAGGTGCGTTTAAATACAAAGCAGACATTATGAATAATGATAGAGTAGCAGTTTGTTTAAGATCTGTTGACTATGACATTATATGCCAGTTTTGACACATTTTGTTTTGCACATTATAGTTACAGTGTCCTTATTAAGTAAGCAAGATGCATAAAGTTCGTTTTGTTTGTTTGATGCTGGGGATTGAACCCAGGGTGTCACACAAGCTAACTTACTGTACCGCTGAGCTAAGGGGATATAAAAACCAAACAGTACTTTTATTTAAATAATTGAAATCTCAGGATAATTTTTGTTAGACCCCACCAGATACTTGCCAAACATGGTGTGAGCATTCTGTTGTCTCACCAGGTCTCATTACCGTATGCATCGCAAAACTGATTTAAAGTAACTTTAGAATTTTGAGGTTTACATATGTATTTTTTAAACCTGAATTAAGTTCTTGTGCAATTTATCTTTTATCCATCTTTGATACTTACTTAAAATAAAAGACAACAAAACCCCAACTATATTTTGTGGGCATTTGTAGTTACCAGACTACAAAGCAACGCTCTCCCACTCTAAGCTATCATAATTATCATTTATTTAAATGTTTTGGATATCCTAGATGGTTTAGGGAAAAGACTCAACAATCTGAGATTTAAAACAGGTGGCAATTTACTTGAACAAAAAAGTGTTAAAAGGCTTTGTAGCCTCCTTTTTAAGAATGGAACTTGTTTAATGCAAATTAATAGAGATAAAAGCTACATAAAGAGAAGGCGGAAGGCATGGAATGTTTTGAGTGCGATTTACTCTGGCTCCTTACCTTTCATCTCAGCCCCTAGTTTGGTTGTTTTCCTTTTTAATGTTGACATGTAAGTTTCACGGGTGAGTTTTCACAGCATTTTGGGAAAGTTTAGTACATTAGAAAGTTAGGATACACCAGTTATTTGCCAAATAATAAAAGGGATGTTTCAGTTTTTAAAAAGCTTATGCAAAAAAGCATTTACTGTGGTTTGCTCTAAATACAAATTCTAAACAAATACTGTTTTTTTCTTTACCCCTCCCCAGTCAACCTAAAACTAGTGTGTGTGTGTGTGTGTGTGTGTGTGTGTGCACGCGCGTGTGTACAGGACGCCTGCGGAGAATCAACACGCATTTTGTAGATCTTTAAAAAAAAAAAAAAAAAGCCAAATAAACCCTGTTTCTCGAATAAACCCCAATACATTTCAAAGTTACAAAGAATCCCAAAGGAAACAGGAATTAACCACCTTGGAGCTTGATTTTTCTTAAAAAAAAAAAATTTTTTTTTAATTAAAAAAACCTAATCTCCCCATTTCTTGCCAGGCGAGCACCGAAGTTTGGAGGTAGACGAGCAGGCGAGCGGTTCGGCCGGGCGCGGAGCATGCAGGCCGGGCGGGCGCGGGGAGCGGGCGCCCGCCGCCCGGCGCGGGGGTGAGCGAGAGAGAGAGCGGAGCGCGTGTGGCCGGCGCCGCTCGCTCGGCCGGGAGCTCCCGCGCCCGCGCCCCGCGCCCCGCGCCCGCCGCCGCCGCCGCCGCCCCTGGTGCGATGGCGCAGAAACCCCGTTGACAAGGCACTGCTTTTTCATGACGGTGAGTTTCCCTTTGAGTGTATTATAATTTTGTGATAAAAATTTCAAGGAGAAAAAAAAGAAAACACACACACAACCTCCTTCCTCTGCCTCTTTCCTTCGGGGAGGGGAGCAGTCAGGGAGGGGGGGCTGGAGATCTATCTCCAGACAGAAAAGAAAGAGGAGCAAATTAAACATCGAGTTGCCAAAACCAGGATATTAGGTTTCAGCCCAGAGAGCTATTGGCTAAGGCTGTGTTTTTTTTTTTTTTTTGGGGGGGTGGGTTTGTGGGTGGGTGATGGTGGTGGTGGTGGGTGGATGTTTAATGGACACGGAGAAAAGGGGAATCGAGTGTTTATGCCTCTCCCAGCGCCGCCGGGGCCCCGGGAAGACCAAGTTCAGTGTCGCGGGCGGGGGCGCGGGCGGGCGGACGGGCAGGGGGCGGCGGCGCCGGGCCGGGGGCGCCTCGGCGGCAGGGTGGGGGCCCTGGCGCCTTTTTTTTTTTTCCTTTTTTTTTTTTTTCCGCGATGCAAATTTCTGGAGCGGGGAGAGGGAGAGCCCGGGAAGGGGGGTGGCGTGGCGGTTGGCGGTGGGGAGGGGAGGGGAGGGAAGCCTTTTAATGACTCATTGATTGAGCCGGTTTAAAATTAGTTGTGTGCGCGAGTGTGAGTGTGTCTTCCGCCCCCCGGAGCCGCCGGGAGCCGGGAAGGAGGGAGCGGGGCTCGGCGAGGGGAGGACGGCGCGGCGGGGCCGCGAGCAGGGGGCAGGGAGGGCCTGGAGTGACGGCGAGCGAGCAAGAAAAATAAGCTTTTCCAATCTCCTCCCCTCGCCTATCCCCCCCGCGTTCCTTTTCTCTCTCTCTCTCCTCTCTCTCTCACTCGGAAGCTCTTGGGTGTGAATCGCATTTTCTTTTTTCTCCACAAAATGGACACCGCGGCGGGGGAGGGGAGGGAGCGGGCGGGGAGGGCGGCGGCGGCGGCGGCGCCTGGGACCGGGCTTATTTTTCACCCTTGGCTTCCTCCTTCCCGCCGCATCTGCAGGCGGCCGGCGAAGGGGAGAGCGAGGGGCCGCCGGGCCGCCCGGGTCCCGCTCCGGCCCCGGCCCGCGGCGTGCACCTGCCGGCGGGGCGGCCCCTTCCGGACCGCCTCGGCGCCTGGCCCCGAAGCGCCGACGAGGACCCGCGGGCCCGGCCCGAAGGAGCGCCGGCACCGCGTGGAGGACCCGCGCGCGGCCCAGCCAGGCGCCGCCTACGAGGCCCGCGCTGTCCCGCCGGCGGAAGAGAAGACAGGCTGTGACGGATTTTTTGTTTTTGTTTTTTGGGGATTTTTTTTTTTTTTTTTTTTTGGCGGAGACTGCGTGGGCACGATTGGTTTCGCGCCCCCCCAAGTCGCCCCGAATGCGGGATCTGGGCGGGGGGAGGGGGGTTACAAGGCGCTAAAGATGGCGCTGGGCCTGGCTGGTCGCCAGGGCTGGTGGCGCAGTTGCTCCGCGGGCGCCATCTTCCCTCGCGGCGCGGGCGGCGCCTTCCGTGAAGCCTCGCCGGCCCGGACCTCGCGAAGCCCGGGCGAGGGCGAGCCACGCGCGGGGCGCTGAGGGATGGGGATGGGGCCGCGCCGCCCTTGTCGATCCCACGTCCCCAGACCCAAAAGAGCAGGTCTCCGGGTCGGAGGGGAAAGGGCCTCTCTCCCTTTTTCTGAGGGGGGGTGGGGAAGTGGGCCGCGGCAGGCCTCGTAGCTAATGGGTCCCCTCCCTGTCCCCGCACCACCGGTTCAAATCGGAGGTGTGGGGTTCATTCTTCTCTCCTGTGACCTGAGCTGGACAGCTTGGGCTTCCCTGGTCCGGCTGAGGACAAGGCACTGAGGCTGTTCCTTCCTCCTCTTCCAGTTAGTACTGAAAGTGGAGTCCCCCAGGTTACAACCCGCAAAACAAGAGTCAGGGACAAGGGTGGGTCAATCTTACAGGTGCCAAGTTTTATTTATTTATTTTTTTAGTTGGTTGTCTTGTAAACCAACCCTAGAGAGACTTTGTTTAGTGGTCAGATTGTGGGAAGGTGATGGGTGTTAGTGATTTGAAACCTCTAGTCGGCCTTCGTAATACTTCAGATGATAGCAAAATAAAAGTTTCTTAGAACCTTGATCTGAAAAATTATGCTGGTTTAAAACTCAGACTTCAGCCTTTCAAAAGAACGAGATTTACAGCATCTACAGAGGTATCTCTGGGGTGGTAGTTCTATAGCAGACAGGTGTGTGTGGGGTTTTAACTTTTTAAATTGTTATTGAAGTGGAGAAAAGCCTGTAAAGCTCTCATCTCTAAGCATCCTCAGAGATGGAAAGTAAATAGTTAATTTCCAGGGGCTAAAAGTAACTTAGTGGCTGGCCAGTGGGTGTGGCCTTGTGTTTATGAGCACAATACCTATGTGGTGGGTGTTAGAGTTGCTTCACTGTTCCTAGATTAAATACCTAGTCTATGCCAGAAATGTGTTTGGTGTTGTATATAATTTCTGCTTATTTTGTTATCCATACAATATTGATTTTATTATCTACTAGGAAAGGAACTGATGTTCACAGAGGTTTGCTAATTGCTCAAGGTCTTATGGTTTTAAGTAGTGAAACTGGCATTGGATCCCAAAAGTCATATCCTTTGATCCATACCTATGATTTCCAAGTCTGAATCAAAATGAACTGGGAGATGTTTTTAAATACAGACTTGTAACCTCCATTATTTGCCAGGGCCGGTTGTGTCCTTTCATGTGTTAGGCAACCTTTGATGACTTTGATGACTTCCACCCTTTGATGTCCCTAACCCCCTCCAATATTTGAAATTCTGGCCTGCTCAGACCCTCCATAGGCGTCTGTTAATTCCAGAGTTCTCCAAATGGTTCCACTGTGACATAGATATACATTTGGAATCTGCTATAAGTAGGTTATGCACTGTACCATTGGTGGGGTTTTTTTGGTTTTTTAATTGGAGCATGTGGATTTAGGTCCATATCACTTTGAGCTTCATACATAATTTTACTGCTCACATCCTTTTCCTATCTAGCTTCCATTTATCAAATTATTGAAATTATTTTCTTATAATCTGTAAATTATAGAAATTATTTTCTTGGGTATCCTGAGACTTTAAAATCTCATTACAGAGCTGGCATGTGGTGCCACCTGTAATCTCAGCATTTGGGAGATTGAGGGAGAAGGATCTCAAGTTCAAGACCAGCCTGGGTTATCTACTGAGACCCTATCTTTAAAAAAAGCAAGTGTAGGGGAGATGGGGGTGAGGGAGAATGATGGAGGGAATCAGTCTAACCATGGTTCATTGCAAACATACATGGAAATAGGACAATGAAACCCCCCTGTACAACTAACATATGCTAATAAAAAGGTTTAAAAAGTAAATAAATAAAATTAAAGTACATTTTAAAAGTGTATTTCCTCATTGTAGTGAGAAGTCATATAACAAACAGGCTTCTGAGTCTAATCTTGCCAGGCCATCTAGTTTAGTCAAGACTGCTGTACAACAAAGATAGAATTAAATCCAGGATTTATGCAGAAATTAGCAAGAGAGTAGAAAAGACCCTGAAATAAAGACCTAGAGATAAATCCTTGTAAGAAAGGGTTAATTTTGAACTGCAGATACATCTTTTAGGTTTTGGGAAGTAGGATGGTCAGTTACTCTAAACATGAAACCCAGTAAGAACAGAGTATGGGGCGAGGGCGTGGCTTAAGTGGTAGAGCCCGCCTACCAAGCCTGAAGCTTTGAGCTCAAACCCCAGGATTGTCCCCCCTCTTCAACAAAAGACCAATATGGATAAAAATACAGAAGAGGTCAGGAAGAAACATCTAGAACAGGTGCTAATCAGATGACCTAACTAAAATGAGAACCAAGTCATATGAGAAGCCTAACTTCTCTGAAGGAAGGGTCATGTGTTCTTTTGTGCTTCCCTTTTACTCTCAAATCATCATTATGTTTAGGAATTGTTAGGGAGGGTGGTTAAAACCCTGGATTTTGATGCAGGTGTCAAAATCACACCATCTTCGTGTGTGTCCATATTTCTCTTTCCTCCCTTGTTTGAAAATTTTTGTAAGGAGCAACTGTTGAATGGCTGTGTACAGTCAGTCTAGACTGCTGGCTTGGTAGGACAAGTTCCAATTTTTAATGTTTCTTGTGGCTTTTCTCCCCTTGTTTTTCGTGGTAATGCCAGTGTAATTATAATCTTTGACTAAAATCCAGTGAATCCTGAACAAGGAGAAATCTAAAATACACCAGCTTACAGGGAAAGAGTATCTTGTTTATTTTAAGGTAGTCTTTAGTAGAATTCAAAACAGACAAGGTATCTGCACTCAAGGAGTTTACAGCAAGTGGGAAAAATGGAAAATAAACAAGATAATTGCAGATTAAAAAAATGATGAGGTTGCTGATGGATCTAAAGGGAGGTGTGTTGGAAAATAACCATTTTGGCTAGTAGGGGACAGGAGAGTTTCTTAGAAGAGGTGACATGTGAACTGAGACTTGAAACATGAGCTTGTGCTAGCCACGTGAAAAGCTATGAAAAGTGGTGACATTCCAGGCCTGAGGACAAGTGCAGAGTGGAAGGCAGAATGGTACCACGGAGGGCAGACTCTTGTGAGCAGAGCCTCATATTAGGCCATAGGAGGATTCTTAGATTTTATTCGAGTGGCAGTAAGAAACTATTGAAAGATGTCATGGCAGTAGTATATTCAGGGTTCAGGTGCTGGGGATTGAACCCAGGGCCCATGCCTGCTAGGCAGCATTCTGCCACATAGTTACACTCCCAATTTCCTTCCTTCCTCTCTACTTCCTTCCCCACCCTTGGCTTGCCTAGGCTGGTGTCAAGCTAGTTTAGGTGAGTGCTGGGACTACAGATTGGAACCACCACACCTGGTTCCTGTTTTGTCTTTAGAGATCACTGGCTGCTATGTGAAGGAAGAGAGGAAGCAGAGAGGGAAATTAGGCTATTGCCACAGTCAGCCCAAGACTTAGGCAAGCAGAGGGCCGTGGAGACAG